TAAAAAAACAATCGTAAAAAAACGGTAAAAAGTCTGGCAGCAAAGTTGCCAAACACTTACCGTCAAATTACAGTAAAAAACCTTAAGTTATTCTACGGAATAATTCTGTTTTTTAAAATACAGATACTGTAAACATGTTCTGTATTTTTACAGTTCCACTGCTGTAGAATGAAAAGAAAATCTCATTAAAAAACTGTCTGTAGAACATTAAACAAATGAATAAATCTGCATATAAACTGGAAATTATTGCAGGAATACCTTACAATTGTACAATTAAAGAAGTCTTCTGTTTTTACACAGTATTCTTTGGTAAATTCATAACATTATCAATTACATCCACAAGAACTCCCCGTCAAAGTACAGATTTTTAGATGTAAAACACGTACTTTTCACATTAATGTATAGGTTTACTTTGAATAAACTTACTTTTATAGTAATTAAACGCAACTATCCAATATATCTACATACTTTTAATTCAAGGAGTTCACTTTATATAAACATTGTTTTATAGTAAATAAAAGCAACTATCCAATATATCTACATTACTTTACCATTAATGTATAGGGTTAGGGTTAGGTTAGCACCTCACCCCTATCAAATACAGGGTAAATGTAAAACTTCCAAGTCCCCTGCCACCAATGCAGATATTTTTCAGAAGCAAAGATAAACTTTGCTGGCCACATCAGCTTAAGATTCAACAAGTGCAGATACAAGAGTGATAGATAAAAAATATATACATAAAATAAAAATAAAAAAACAGCTATGTAGGCTATACCTTTCATGCATATGCTGTAAATAAAAATTGAACATAATAATTACTGTGTTACAGAAACAGATCTAAAAATATTGCCTCGAAAGATGGATGAATACAGTAGGAGATATTGTTGCACAGTGTAACTAAATATACAGTTATTGTACATGAAATAATTGAGCTTAAGTTTAATATAAAATTAAATCAAGAATAGTCAGTGATTGTTTATGCATCCTATATCCAGTGTTTCTACTGTCAGGTACCACTGACTCAGTGTTTACAATTCTGAAGTGTTCTGTAACAATTTCATAAGTGGCAGAGAAAAAATTGAGTGGCAACATTTTCAGACCCCACCCCGTGCACTGTAGCTGCTGCTGTCTGGTGCTGCAGCCTCAAGTCTCGGATCATCATCCTTTGGGACAGTTTTTCCGCAAGACAACCAGGCTCAAGAATGCTGGACACTAACCTCCTAATGCCTGTCTGCCTGTTGGTGTGAAAGAACTCTTGAATCTTGTGTGCTGATATGTCTTCTTTTGGCTTGGCTTTTAAGGGTGACATTGTCTGTTTGAAATGCTGCCCTGACAGTGATTTTCTGACCATATACTATATTGACACGTATCTCATATGCTTATTTGAGAAGAAAATATGTGATTCAATTTAAAAGTAAAGGCTGTAAATCAACTTTAAAAACGTTGAAGCATTAAGACACAAAGTCAATCTATATTCAACAAAATTCAAGGCCCTCACTGCAGTGAAATCATTAGGCCACTCCACAATTTTCTCGGTTGATGGGAACAAACCGCCACACTATGAATAAAGCTTTACAATGGGGTGCTATATATTTTTAACTTACAATAGGTGAGCAATATGTGTGAAAGACAAGGAATTTATTCTGGGGCTCGAGTTCAACCAAGGCTCTTGTAGCATAAACTTGAGCTTTGGTAAACTGGGGGTGAAGGAATTGAAGACATTAAAATGGTTGAAACATTACACAACGTGTAAACAAACATCCTAATTGTTTTTCTAGTCTCTGTGCTTTAGATATCAAGAAAGTGCGCGCAGATTCAAATAATTGAATGTTGTACAATCATTGGACGAATCATACGCCAGAGGCAATCTCGACCAATGATATTGTTTGACTTTGGGAGGGGGATACGTCATAACTTCGCGCGAAGCAGTAGAGAGCCTGGATAAAGTATGGAACATTTCCACGATATCGGCATTCAGCTTTCACTAAAGGTAGATTAATATACCCAGGCGGCACATGACCGACCTTCAACGTTGAAATATGATTGAAATAATGCCAGTCGTTGAAACAACGTTTAATGCTAAATGGTTGAAAAAGGTTAACAAAAACACTTCTAAATCAACGTTTAATTTTTTACAAGATCTGTACGTTGAAACAACGTAATGTTTTCAACAACATACATAAATATCTGCCTTTTAACATATTATTATGATAATTCATTAGCATTTAATGATTTTTCTGATTTTCACAACAGTTCTTCAATGTATATGTTAAAATATAAGTATTATCATTAACAATAATAGTTTCACCCTCAACAGAGCAGTGCAGCAGAAACCGTTTGCTTTATGTGATTTTGTGTGAATTTACAATTTTGTATGCTTGCCAATTTTGTCTGCTTGCCTAACAGTTTACATTGCATTATTACATATTAATACACTGTCATATCATTTGACCAATTAATTAAATAGTAATACAGACTGCAACTCGCGCAAACTATTGCTATTGTTATTGGTTGTTTCTCCGTTTTACTTTGAGCATGATTGGTTAATCTGTCTGTCTTCCAGGAAACTGTCCAATGAGAATGTGCGCGGCTCTGCGCGCCTATTTTAAGTTTGAAAATACGTCCGTTACTCTCGGTTGGTGTGAGCAGCTGCTGTTTGCGTTGTTGATTACTCGGTCAGACCTGGATTATTTTATATCTGCCTGTTGAATTCTTAAATTCTGAGCGAATTTTAGTTGCTATGTCAATGAAGAACAAAAGCTGGAATATGAACAGAGGAAGGGGTCGTACGTGGTCTGTTGGCGATATCAGGTAAGAAAACATTTTTCAGTCCTTAACAGTCTAACGTTTAGGGACACGGGTAATTTAACTGTCATAGGCTTACTGCAACCTCATAAGATGAATAAGTTATCTCTGTGTGTGTTTTTGTACTGCTTCACTATTAACGTAGCGATATTAGCACGTATTTCAATGTGTTAGTACCATCTAACATTGCTGTGTTTTGTTGTTGGTAAGTTAACATGAGAGGTAAAAAAGCGTGGGAATGAGTAAAGTGATAAAACCGTCATTTATTCGTTAGAAGTATGTTTACATAACCTCTTCAAACACTGATAACATATTGAAAAGATATTTGTTTACTTTATTTTTTAGATCAAGCATTGGAATAAGATGTTTATCGGGGGAGAACACCCAACAGAAAGACCCATTCACCAACTAACGTTACAGTAAGTCAATTTTACCCACTGTTCGAAAACCTACACTGGGATAGTATTAAGTGTGATTTTCATACTGTTACTGATGGAAAGTCTGAGTAACTTTCTGTCCTT